CCAGCTCAGTATTTCCATTCTTATTTTTGATCCCCCCCCTCCCCAGTCTGATTAGCATTACTCATGCATCTCCCACAGCTGGTGAAGAAAATGAAACTGAAAAGAGGCAGGGCATTTAAACAAACAAAAACCTGAAATTTGCTTTCAAATCAACCATGACATTTTCACAAGGAAGGTACATAAAATTTTGGAATGGCTTTCACAATCCCTGGATTTAAACATTATTGGAAATCTGTGGGGAGATCTCAGACATGCAGGGCATTGCAAAGAGTATTTCTAAGGTAGAAGAGTTTTGCAAGGAAAATATACAATGAAATCCCAAAGGTGCTTTTTCAGGAGGCAATTGGACTTCCTTGTTTTTCTTTGAAGACGTTTTGCTTCTCATCCAAGAAGCTTCTTCAGCTCTGACTGGATGGTGAGGAATGGAAGGATTTATACTCCTTGCAGACAGTTGGTCATTTGCATGCTTTATATATTTATAAAGAACAGCCCTTTAGTTATTTTTTTCCCCTTCTTCCATATTCTTTGCTCTTGTATTACATTGTGTGGACCCTAAATTATAATGAACTCAGCAGAAAGCATTGTTGAGGAAATTGAAATGTGTGGTTATGAAGAGCTTTTCCAAAAACATAGACAATACCAAAAGAGTCTGAATGGGTTCATGTTGGTAGCCACGGAATGGGAAGCATAAAATAACAGTACTTGTGTTTTGGAAATAAAAGCCTTTGGTTTCATTTGGAAACATAAATAGCAGGTGTTTAATGATTTTATACTGAGGTTTACCATCCTGTGAAGAGGTGTGATCAATTAATACTTACCTTTTCTGCCAATTGGTCCAATTTTACCTATCATTCCTTGTTCACCAATATCTCCAATTGTTCCTTTGTCTCCTGAATTGGAAATACAGTAAATAGGAGTTTGTTTCATTGAGTCGCAGAGTACAATTTAATTGTATTTTAAGATACTGCATGTTAATTCCAATGATTAATTATTCTCACTGTCAGAAAAGTTCTCCTTAGTTCTGGGTGGATTTTTCTTTAACCACCCTAGAACTAAACCAATTACTTCTTGTCTTGCCCTCTGGTGCTTTGGAGAAATAATCCCTTCTTCTCTGTGATAGCCCCTCTACTACTGGAAGACAGTTATCATATCTCCCTTAATCCTTCTCTTTGATAGGCTAGACCAGTGGTTCTCAACCTTTTTAATGCCGCGACCCCCAGCCGGTCGTAAGTCGAGGACTAAACCGGTTGTAAGTCGAGGACTAAACCGGTCGTAAGTCGAGGATTAAACCGGTCGTAAGTCGAGGACTACCCAACCGGTCGTAAGTCGAGGACTTTCCCTGCCCGGGAGCACCGCGCATGCGTGATTCCGCCCCCTGCACTGGCCGAGGCGTAGCTGGCAAGCGGCAGAGACGGAGCAGGCCGACCACCAGCTGGCCCAGCTCAAGGGAGGTAAGGCACCCGCCGGAAAAGGGGAAAAAATGGCGGACAGCCTTGCTTGGCGACCCCCATGAAATGGTCGATCGACCCCAAATGGGGTCGCGACCCATAGGTTGAGAACCGCTGGGCTAGACACACTTAGCTCCCTCAACTGTTTATCACATAGGACTAGGATAGCACCTTTTCCAAGTACCCAGGTTTTTTTTAAAAAAAAAATTGTCACATACTCTTTGCTACTCCACTTAAAAGGTATTGCATATGCTTATTTTTTTGTCCATTCCAACAGAATGAAGCCTCTTTTGAAGAGAGTTTGACTTTGATTTGTCTCCATTAATGTACCATGCTGAGCTGTCAGGTAGCAGATGGCTGTGTCTCCCTTTCTTTGCACTCTTATAAAAAACAACAACATGACATTTCCAAGCTTATCTGCATCACTCAAAACTCCCTGCTGAGATGCTTGTAGGAGTTATGTTCTGGTCTGAAAAAAAATATTCTTAAATGATGACTAAGAAAAAAAACCCTCATTAGATGTATATGCAACTCCCTCGGTGTTATTCTCATACACTGATGGAGTAAGATAAGCATGTCAGTGGAGCAATTAAGAACCTACAAAGAACTCAGCTGGATTAAACCCTAATATAGACCAGCACACAGTGACAACTAGATACACCTGGGAAGCTCACAAGTTTGAACTCAGATTGACAGTCCCCTTCCATTTTGTTTCCCAGCAACCAGTATTTGGGGCAAACTGTTGATGCTTCAGAGGGTAATAAATAGAGCAGTACAATACTTTGGCTTTGATTCCTCTGCATTCTGGGAAAAGATACAGCTACTTCCAAAAGTAGCAGTTAGGAGTTTTCTTTGCATTTTGGCATCCTCCTAAAATGCCATCTGCACAGCCGGTCTCAGGGGCCTCTGACTGACCTAATAACAGGAACATCTCTCCCCAATTGCTTCTATTCTAGTCAGGCGCAAAAGACCAGATCCACATGTGAAGGTCCAATTAAACTGATTTATTGCTAAACAGCTTATGCATAGAATCTTTCCAACTAACAGTGGGCACCTGCTTAGAGTTTGATGGAATGGAATTCAAGGGAGGTTACACTTAATCTGCTTGTGACTACGTAGGGATTGTAGGCTGATCCCACTTTTGACTCCACCCCAGCTTTTGCTACTCCTTCTGCTACATTCCATCCCATTTGGTCTGGCAAGAGGACCATGCTGTGGATGCCATCAGCTAAGGAGGGTCAGCTGGTGGGACCCAAGAGGAGGGCCTTTTCTACTATGGCAACTACCTTGTGGAACATAATTCTCCCTGAAATTAGGTTAGCCCCGATCTTGCTGGCCTTTCGCAAGGCCCTGAAAACTTGGGTTTTGCCCAGGCCTGAAGCCTTGGAAGAGTGATAAGATTCTATCTCTTAGCTTTGTTGATGGTTATTTTATGATGCTTGGCTGCTGTGGAGTTTTATTTTATATTATGTGTTTTATTTGTTTATATATATTTTATTACAAACCGCTAGAGTCATATTTGTGAGATAGATGGCTATATCAATCGATCAATCAACCCATTTCTGAAATATTGCTAAAACTGCAGAAACTAGTCCAAGAAGTCACCAACACTGACTCAAGGTCACACAATTAAAAGAAAAGTAATACTCTGAATAATTTTCTTTGTAAGCTTCCTTTTGAATAGTTCCTTTCCTCCTGTGATTAAGAAACAAGAGAAGCTTGTCAGAGTGTAAAAATAATTTATGGAATATGCTATACACTTAACCAGATTAGCTGAAAGCTTAATGGCTGCATTGTGATTATTAAAAAATAAACTTGGATAAACCTGATGTTTTTTAGGGCTTACTGCCTTGTCCCAATCCACCTCGTTTGGGTTCATTCAGAACCAGGTTATGCCTGTAGCCAGTGTATAACTCTGAAGTAGTAAGGGACCATTCCTATGTTTTCAACTGTAAAGAGAACACTATAAATTGTTTTACCTTTGGATCCTGTGGGTCCAACTTTTCCAGTTTTTCCCATTTCTCCTTGATCTCCCTTTTCGCCTTCATCTCCTTCAAACAGAAACATAAAGGAAGGAGAGATGTCATCAGTAACAAAAAAAAGTTTAGGAAAGGCTGATCTGATTTTATTTTTGAAGATATGACATCTGTTGGCTCAACTCCTATGTTTTGATATGCCTGGTCCTTCATAATACCCGAATTACAGAATAACAGAATTGAGAGGGACCTTGGAGGTCTTCTAGTCCAACCCACTGCTGAAGGAGGAAACCCTATACCATTTCAGACAAATGGTTGTCCAATCTTTTCTTAAAACCGACCAGGGAACCTGATACTTCCTTGGGAATTTGTATACAAGTAGAGAAAATATACTTGAAACAACATTACTTTGGGATACATAGTCAAGCACCCGTATCTTCATCACCACTCTCATATTTAGGATACTAAATCTATGTCAAATGTTGGGAGTCTGTCCTCGGCATTCTTTCAGAAAGCTGGGAGAAGTGGTCAAAACATCAATTTGCCAGAAGAGAAAATAGATAATGCTGTTTCATGTCCTTACTCAATGCCAAACTCAATCTATCTGTAGCCCAAATATATTTCTGTAAATACAAACATCGATTATACTAGAGTGGTAGTTTTCCAAGGCTGGTAACGTCCAAATTTGTAGACTCCAATTCCCAGAATTCTCCAGCCGGCATGGCCTTTGCTAAGAATTCTGGGAGTTGAGGTTCACATATCTGAAACTCGTTCAAGCTTGGAAATGCTGCCTTAGCGGCAGGCCAGCTGTCTTTAAAAGGAAACGCACACACTTTGAAGAATTTATCATTAAAATCAAGGGGAACAGGGAGTGTGTCCAGTGCTGGTATCCATGGGAACAAAAATGACTGGTATTTGTGTACATTCTTCCCCCACAGATTTGACTTTTAGCTATTTAACTCAGGTTGTTTTTGTTCCATAAAGTCAATGACTTGCAATGATTGAAAGAAACTTCAGATTTTAAAGAACTAAGTTGATGGCCATAGATTTAAAGTCTTGTGCTGAACATGAAATTTGCCTATCTTGTTGTAATTCCTGTTGTTGCTGTGATCTTCTCTGGGATAATAATAATAAACTAGGGAAGATGAGGCCTGTGATGGCCTTCTAAAATGAGGTAGGTAGGTAGGTTGGTAAGTGGGATGCATATATTGGAGGGCCGATCCAGAAGGATTTTTGTACCACAACAAAATCCTCCATACAGAACATTTTGGTACATAAACCCAGTTTATGGCTCAACAGGATGTATCGTCTGAGTGATTATAGCTTCTTTGGAAAACTAGGGTACCATTAAACCACACCCTAGCCTTTCTGCTCTGGGATCAATCATAGCACAAACCCCTTTGAACTAAGCTGGATGAAAGTCCATTTCCTTAAATATTCAGCTGTTAAATAAGATACATCATGAAAAAATGTACCAAGATTTGCACCTTGCTGCCCTCTTGTGGTGTTCTATGTTGTGATGTTTACAAAATTAAAAAAAAAACTGGTTATTTTTTTGACAGGCTTGGCAAATTATGGTATGGGAAAGTACATGGATACCACTATTATCCCTTTTACAATAGTACAAGTCAATTCTGATTTGATCAGTTTTATACTCCACTGAGTTCAACAGATCTATAGCTAAATGGCAATTTGTTTTGTTCTTGGTATAATGATGTCCTTTCTCCTTAAAGGTAACATGTAATCTGATATCAGTTACACCTAACACTGAAGGTAGGGTTGACAACTCCACCTTGAACTGATTTTGAATTGTAGATTTTATGGTTCAAGCACCTGGAATAATTTTTGGAGTTGAGAGTTTCTTTTTTCTCATAACATATACCTAACCATAATCCTATCCTCTATTAAGGAAGGCAATGTTATGCAAAATGCAGAAAAGGAGTAAGAAAGAGCAAGCCAAAAATCCAGATTTAATGACAGTCATTATACCTCTCCAGATCTTTTGTCCTTGCAAACCATCCTTGATTCATTATATTTATACACTGATTTAATACAAGGCCATTTTCCTTTAAATTTCAGAATAATAGAGTTGGAAGGGACCGTGGAGGTCTTCTAGTCCAACCCCATGCTCCGGGAAGAAACCCTATACCCATCTCAGACAAAGGGTTGTCCAATCTCTTCTTAAAAACTTCCAGTGTTGGAGCATTCACAACTTCTGGAGGCAAGTTGTTCCACTGATTAATTGTTCTGTCAGGAAATTTCTCCTTAGTTCTAGGTTGCTTCTCGCTTTGGTTAGTTTGCATCCGTTGCTTCTTGTCCTGCCTTCAGGCACCTTGGAGAATAGCTTGACTCCCTCTTCTTTGTGGCATTTCTCATCTCTCAACTTTCCTTCTTTTCCCCTTTCCCTCTTTTCCCTATTCACACTCCTTTAAATATACGGTAGTTTGTGGTTCAGTCTTCATTCATTCTCTTTGTGTAAGCAACCCACTTAAGTGTCCCCTTTGTATTCCGTCCACATTACTTCAGCACTCATTCGTTCTTAACCCTATCTTGGGTTGTTTGACCAAATTTAGAAGTAATTCATCCCTAATTCCAGTTCTCACTTCCTTGTAACAAAATAGGCAGAAGCCTGATCTTATTCACAATCATTTTATTGCATGTGTTTTGTACCTATATGTCTGTCTCATGCCTCTTAATGGGCCACACATTACCATTGCCTTTTACTAGCATTTGCACATCTTAGAATTTCTCCTTCTGTTTTCAATCAACAGGAAACATTCTACTATAGTATACAAATTCATCCATTTTAATTTTTGCCATTTTTGTATAATATTCATTCATCCACTTCATCTTTCCTGTAAAACACAGCTCCATTGGCCTTCGATACATCAATTTTCAGATCCATATTTACTGTTGCAGCACAAAGTCTAAAATATGCTGTTAAACATTTGGGTTCTTAATCTAAAACTAAAGTACCTGTGCATTTACATCATCAGGCAACACACCTCAGTGTCACCATGACTGTTCCATATATTATTACCCATATACTAATCAAATTTAGCATATCATTTGAATATAGCACCTAGTTTAACTCACAAATGGACCTTAGATAGTCCTTGACTTACAACCATAATTAGGCCCAAAATGTCTCTTGCTAATCAAGACAACTGTTAAGTGAGTTTTATACAGTTTTTTGATATTGCTTGCCACAGTTGTTAAGTGAATCACTGCAATTCAATCAGAATAGAGCTGGAAGGGACCTTGGAGATCTTCTAGTCCAACCCCTGCTCAAGCAGGAGACCCTATATCTTTTCAGCCAAATGGCTGTCCCATCTCTTTCAGTGTTGGAGCATTCACAACTTCTGAAGGCAAGATGTTCCACTGGTTGATTATTCTCACTGTTAGGAAGTTTCTCCTTAATTCCAGGTTGCTTCTCTCATTGATTAGTTTCCATACTTTGTTTTTATCCTGCCTTAAGTGAATCCACTTCATTAAGTTAGCTTCATTCATTAAGTGAATCCACTTCATTCAACGACCTTGCTTGTCAAAAAGTCGTGAAAGGTTATCACCTGACCCAGGGGAGATTGCAACCATCATAAATACATGCCAAATGCCAAGCATCCAAATTTCGATCACGTGACCATGGGGATGCTACAATGGTCGTAAGCGTGAAAATGGTCATAAGTCACTTTTTTCAGTGCCGTTGTAATTTCAAATGGTCACAGAACAAATGGTTAAAAGTCGAGCACTACCTAAAAATGCTAGTTTTGAGCAAAACCATTATAAAATATGGTCACACAGCCATGGGGCGCTGCAAATGGCTGTAAATGTAGCCTGGTTGATTAGTGCCTGACATGAAGTTACGTGTCTGTGTGTGTGTGTGTGGGGGCACCTGTCTGAACTTCAGAACAGGATTGTAAGCAATGCTTTTTTGGTAAGAAAAAAGGTGCCAGAACTCACATCTTTGTTATCTTTTATTTAAAAAATTATATATTCAGTCCTTAACATAAATTTACCTTTTGCACGTAGTCAATCACTGTATACACACCCACACACATCAGTTGTGTAATGAAACATAACGGTCGCCACCCACAGTAAGCACTCAGCGCGTGACCACACGACCAATCACAAGCCAAGCAGTGCCACAAGCCGAGCAGCGCCGTCACAACCAGTGTGGACAAAGTACGCATGTATTGGACTCGACACACAAGTAGCCCGCATGCACCATTTTAATGATTTTGCTGCCGACCTGCTACACTCAACAGGGCAATTCAAGTCCCTGTGGACCAAACATCAAATTTTCAAAAGTTACTTTTAAAACTTGGAAAATATGTCGAAAAAAGATGCCGGACCTCTGTTCCAGTGCATTCTATGACCAAAAAAAGCACTGGTTGTAAGTACCCATGGGGAGGCCTTGTCATAACTTTGAATGGTTGCTAAATGACTGGTTATAAACTGAGGACTACTTGTAATGTAAAGCCTTAGGATCATTCACTTCCTGCAAACTTACTTTTTCCTCTTGTTTTAATGGCAGCGATTACGCTCTCATCTGCTATATCCCTGGCAGATTTAACTTTCTCCTGTATTTCACGCTGTGGAGAGCTTTGTTGCTTAATTTCTGCAGGATAATTAGAGGCAGGACATCTTTGAGTATAACAAAAAAGCTGGCCCCACCGCGTAATGTGCTCAGGATGTTATGTGAATTGGTTCTGGCAGGAAAACAGAATAGCAGCAGGTCTCTCTCTCCAGGTTTGTCAAGAGCCAACCATTGGGAGTATTGGACAGCTGGAGTCTAACCACAATGGCCTGAAAGAACATTACTCTGGGTCACTGTTGAAAGTTTAAATGGCAGCTATGTTGCTCAGGGCAGTAAACTGGGTTTTGTTTGTTTTTGCAAAGCATGCCTCAGGACAAACATCATCCAACGGCCTGGACAATTGCCTAGGCTGCTGAGTGCTGACATAGGCCACAGACATGGACTGACAGAAAATTGAGTTTTTGGTTTTCTTTCAGTTTCTAGCCCTCATGGAAGACATGCTTGAAAGTGTATGGGCAAGGAAATCTTAACAATTAAAGAAGTTCTTGATTAGTGTAGTCTACTAGTCTGGGACAGAATCCCACACAACTCCTTGTTGCTTTTTGGTGCTAGAAAATAATGCAGCCCATTTTGCCCAATGTGAATTTATAGAAATATAAAGAATGCAAGTTACCTAATTTGCTCCTCTGTTGGCAGAATTAAAGTTATGTAACGAAAGAGCTCTGGCTTTTAGGATTTCTAATTTCTTTAAAGCATGGCCATGAGACGTCCTGGTGAAGAAGGGAGAGATTGGGAAGACAACAGGAAAGCAATTCTGCCAGGTTTGAGGATGTGGTGTTGAAGTCCTTCCATTTCTAGCAAGGGATTTGGAATGTGGCAGTATCATTTTTCAGAAGGGAATTTCTGCAACTATGGTTATTAGATGGGCAGTGAAAGCAGCAGTGACCACAAGAAACAGGCCTTGGAGGTGCCGACTTATGTCAAGGAGTTTATAATTGACATTTGTCAGAATAATGAAAGAGGAACCCTCCAAATACAACAAATACAACACACTGGTGTAGTGTACTCCCATTTCATCCCTTCCAAAATGCCTTCACTTATTTCACTCGAGACTCAATTCAAATCTCTTTGAAGTTTCTATTAAATTTCATTGGATGTTGCTATTCCTCATCCTCCCCCCCCCCCAACACACCAAAATATTCAGTTCATTTTTGATGTGGAGGCCCAATCGTGCAATTACATCAATAGATCTTCCCAATTGGATGTCCTTATATCCTTGGGCAGTTCAGCAAGGACATGGAAAATTACAGTCTGAATATTTGTTGAAGTCACATAACTCAGAGGTAGCTGTGTTGGGCTGTTGTAGAGCAAAGGCAAGGTCTGTTTGAGCATTATAGTCATGGAGAAAAGGAGTGTGGCACATGGTTTTATGGGAAAAGATGTTGCTTCCCATCAAATGAATTGGGAAATAGTTAAGATTCTATTCAAGACATAAAGAGCCAACTCTGATCAAAGGAAAGTCCTGGAAACAAATGCAATTTATGATTTGCCTCAAGTCCAGGTGACCAGGATTTGCTGATGTGTTACCAGGAGCTGAGCCAGATTTGATGGCCGGCAACCAAATGTGTTCCCCATAGCTATCTTGGCTGTGAAAATTGGACCTTGAAAAAGCAGGGAAGCAAGAAAATCGACTTGTTTGAGCTGTGGTGCTGGAGAAGGGTCCCATGTATTTCTTGGACAGCAAAGGTGACCAAGAAGCAAATACTGGAATGCATAACATCAGACATGCCACTAGAAGGCAGACTTCTGGGCTAGCCTAAGCTTCCATTATGTTCACCTTGCAAAAGAAACATGGAAGGAAAAAGCTTATATGTGTCCTTTTTGTTCTATTATGAGGGATTGTTTTTGATTTTGTTTTTAAAAATCTTCAGAAGAAAAACAAGGATCACTGCCTATTTTATATCGGAATGGAATACTCTAGTTCTGTGCAATGCAAATTAGATTTTAATATCACATGTACTTGAAATACTTCTTAAAAACAGTAACATTTTTTTCCAGGTTTGTGTGATAACCTGAACAATGCTGAGCTGATTGAATTTACAGTGGAGAAGTGATGGTGTCACATATGCACCTTCAATTTATTTTCATCAGTCTTAGAAGTTCTTATTCATAGCCACCAGGGGGCAGCCTCAAACCCTCCATTTGAGCCCTTATTACTGTACTGTTTTTATTATTAATCAGTAACCGCAGGGATATGATCCTGTAGTTACTAGGACTCCTAACTTTTACTTGAGAGAGAGATTTTACTTTTATTTTGCTATAAGTCAGCATGGATTGCGGAGATAATCAGATCATCCATGCCACCGGATTTTAGTTGTCAACTCTCACAGATAAAGTTTTTGGTTAAATACACTTTTACTAGAATTGATGAATTACGTGCTCTGTTTAAATGCCAATGCTGGAGTTTTAATCTGTTTATTTAGCTAGCTTGATGTTTTGCAGAAGAGCTTAGGGACAAATCCCCACTTCAAGCAGTTTATAATTATCTGAGTTTGCTCTGCTTGAAATCTTTGGGTACAAATTCCATCAATTACAATCAGATTGCAACAACAGGAGTGTATCTAATATTGCCACTGAGATCGCCCATTGATCAGAGAGATACTACAGGTAGTCCTCAAGTTACAACCATAATCTGAGCCTTGCAATTACGGTCATAAATTGTGACAGCCATAAAGCAGGTCACCATGTGACCAATCCCAATTTTAAAACTTTTTTTTGTGTGGTGGTTGTTAAGCAAATGTGAAGTTCATAAAGTGAAGCTGAAGTTGATAAGCAAATGCTGTGTTATTAAGCGAACCCATTGTTTGCTATAGGGTGGTTTTTGCGGTATATCAGCAATAAATGCACGTTTCCAGGAAAACTGTAATAAATTGCGGTCATAATATTATACATATCATGGATGCAAAGTTGGGCCTCACTCAGCCAGCTGAACACTTCAGTCTGTGGCAAGATGGGTGGCAGATAGATAGATAGACAGACGGACAGACACAGACAGACACTACCTCCAAGGTCCTTCCAGTTCTGTTATATTCATAGGCCTTATTGTTATTCCTATAGTAATCAAGACAATATTGTTTGCAACATAAAAGTTTCATAGTACAGGACCTCCCCAAATCCACCCATATAGCCATTAACTCAGAGCAAAATCTTTTCCAGAATTGTTAAATGTGAATTTATAATCAGAAATTCTAGGTAACATGCTAGGGTTAACAACTGTCCTTCCCTAAAATTAAAACATTTGCACACCTGTTTTCTTTGCCAAAAACTACACTCAGGAAATGCTAGAGGCCCATCAGGTGATGACTGCAGCCAGATCAATGAATATATTTGGGTTCTTAAATACAGTGGTTAATAGCAGATAATTATGTGACTAACGTTTGAAATGTTCATTAATTCATACCATAATTCCTCAGTTGAAAATTCCAATTTTCCTGTAACCAGCTTAGGCTGGTTCGTTTTGTGCCTGTAGATGTGTTGGACGGCTCCACAAATAACCCTTTTCATGGTTTTGCACTAAAAATAAGGTTGAAAGCTTACATGATAAGCGACTCAGCAACATTATCACCACAGGAAGCAGCTGAAAAGCTGGCAACCTTATTTTCCATTTCTTGTGGCATAAGAGCTTGCAGGAGGAGAGGAAGAGAAGGAGAGAGTAGAATCATAGAAAAGGCATTTGTGATTTTACCTCAGAAATCTTTCTAGTGCCTCACCTTTCGGTCCAGGTAAAATGGTATGCGTGGAACAGATCTCGGCTGTCTGTCGGTTGCCATCTTCTAAGCCAAATATTTGAACCAGGACAAGAAACAACAGGAAGAAAGTTTCATGTTTCCACCGTTGCCTCTCCATGTCTTCCACTGCTGAGCTCTAGAGGAAATGCTCTTTGTTGTTCCACTCTCAATAATTGCTAAAATAAGATTTCCCATATAACTCTGGAGAGCAAAATAAATTGAACATTCCCTTTGATTACAGCTTTAAAAAGGCACTGAAGAGGCCTATTAGGGTGTGCACTGATGTGGGCTTGAAAAGCGAAAAAGTCAAGAGTTGAGATCCAGCATTGTCCAGCAGATTTATGCAGCAGTGACAGTTGTTTATTAAACTTTATCTGTTGGCTGTGAAATGTTTAAGAGCTGCAAGAGTGATCTTGAATGCCTAAGTCTGCCTCTGTTTTGTCTCTGCCTGCTGTCAGGAGAACCAATTCCTTCTCTGTGTTTGCTGAGCAAGCATACTAAAAAAAAAGCTTGAATTCTAAATACAGGTAGTCCTCGACTTACAACAGTTCGTTTAGTGACCATTCAAAGTTACAACTTATGACCGTTTTTTCACAGTTACGACCTTTGCAGCATCCCCATGATCATGTGATCAAAATTCCAACGCTTGGTAACTGACTTGGGTTTGTGATGGGTGCCATGTCCAAGGGTCATGTGGTCACCTTTTGTGACCTTCTGACAAGCTAAGTCAATGGGGAAGCCAGATTCACTTAACAGCTGGGTTCAGTGGTGGGATTCAGCCAGTTCGCACCACTTCGGCAGAACCGGTAGCTAATTTTTTGTTTCCCAGGCCCAGAATGGACTTCCGGAAACGGCATCCACATAGAGAACTGGTTGTTCACATATTTTAATCCCACCATTGGCTGGGTTGCTAACTTATCAACTGCAGTGATTCACTTAACAACTGTGGCAAGAAAGGTTGTAAAATAGGGCAAAACTCACTTAACCCATGTCTCACATAACAACAGAAATTTTGGGCTCAATTGTGGTCATAAGTCGAGGACTACCTGTGCATTAATGACTAAGACAGTGATGGCGAACCTTTTAGAGACCGAGTGCCCAAACTGCAACCCAAAACCCACTTATGCATCGTCGGGTGCCGGGTGGGTGTGGCCCATTGGCTGGGCATATCATCGGGTGCCGGGTGGGTGTGGCCCATTGGCTGGGCATGGCTGCGGTGGTAACGGCAGACTGGGTGGGATTAAAAAGTTCAATCAATCAATTCCAACTTTGCAAGATCTTTTTTCCCCCACAAGAAGTTGAAATTGATTGATTGATTGAACCTTTTTTTTTTTGCACATGGCGGCGGAGGCCTAAAGTGAAAAGGTTGTATAAAACCCAGCTGAAGGCCTAGGACTGGGGCGAGGGTGCACGTGCCCACTGAGAGGGCTCTGCGTGCCACCTCTGGCACCCGTGCCAGAGGTTCGCCACCACTGGACTAAGATAATGAAATTTGTTTCCAAGTAAGCCTGCTTTATAACTCACTCTAAGACAGGGGTATTCAAACATGGCAACTTTAAGACTTGTGGACTTCAGCTGTCAGAATTCCTCAGCCAGCTCTGGCTGGCTGAGGAATTCTGGGAGTTGAAGTCCACAAGTCTTAAAGTTGCCAAGTTTGGAGACCCCTGCTCTACGACGTCTGCTATGGACAGCTTGTATTGGAAAGAAGATTATAGCAAGGAAATGATTGTGGAATGATACAGCTAGTCCTTGACTTACAATCATTCAGTTCAAAGTTACAACTGCACAAAAAAAGTGACTTATGAGTGGTCCTTGCACTTACAACTGTTGCGGCAACCCTAACAGTCATGTGATCAAAATTTTTCCACTTGGCAATCGGTATTATTGACGATTGCAACATCCTGGGGTTACACGATTGTCATTTGTGACAATTTCCCAGTTGGCTTCCATCAAGCAAAGTCAATGGGGAAAACCAGATTCATTTAATGACTGCAGGATTCACTTATCAATTGCAGTGAGTCACTTAACAATAGTGGCAAAAATGTCATAAAATCAGGCACAGCTCACTTAACAATTGTCTTGCTTAGCACTGGATATTCTGGTGCCAGTTGTGATTGTAAAGCTAAGACTGCCTACATGGGGGTACTAGAGATTCTCCCCCTAACCCAAATCCTGTTCTGCTGCTTCATGATGGAAGGGGATTTTCTGTCCAGGATGAGCACAAGCTGATAGGAATGTATACAAATAGTACATTCTCCCAACAGATTTGCCCAAGGACTGTCAACATTCAGTTTGAGAATCCAAATAAAACTCCAGATTAATTTTCTGAAATCTTAAGATTTATTGAATATACTGTGTGGTTATGTTGAAGCAAAACTAACTCTGAAGTTCCCATACCAGTTCATAGACTTAAACAATAGTTTTCCCAACCAAACCCCCAACGTCTTACGTAATCCATATCAACAAGTCCATTTTGTTATGAGAACCACCTGCTTCAAATCCACACCTGTTCTGGTGTCCTTGACAAGGCTTCAGGCTCCCACGGTCTGCAACTGAATTGAAGAAGCTTCATTTCTCCATCTACCCACTTGAAAATAACACCTACCACTCCTTTATGTAAAGGCAAGTTGAAACGCAGAGGCATATAGCTGCCAAAGTTTCACACTTTGGGCATCTTGACTGCCCACCTATATTAATATAGTCTTAATATTATATAATGGAGGCAAACAATCACTTTAATGACAACGGCAAATTCATCATTTAATATTGTGCAGGAGAAAGCAGTGGTAAATCACTCCTGTATTTTATAGAATTACACCCACCCACTCACCCACAACCACACCCACCCACCCACAGCCACATACACACCCACACACGCATACACATGGACATAAATTATAAAATGATTGATGATTCCAGGAGAAAATCTATCTGTGTGGCTGCTAAGAGTTGTCACCAACCTGATGACATATCATCAGTCAGGCATGAGGGGGAATATTAATTTAGCCTGCATCTTCCCTGCAACCATGTGTATTTCTGCCTTTTTTGAACCATCATAATAATCCAGAGCTTTATTATTTTGAAATTTGAAATTCACCAATTTTTACAGTGAAATTGACCACATAAAAATATAGTAGGGAAAGATAGGAAACATGCACTGTATCATAGCAAGCTGTTTGCCAAAAAGCAGGTTTGTCAAGGAAAAATTGCAGCCACAATACAACACACCACCGTGTGATGTATGTTGATGTCTGCATCAATATGCCCAGATGTTGGCACAAATGAGAAACTTAAACAAAATTGAAAAATGGAGAAAAATAAAAGATTAATTTGCCCTTTCTTAATATATGTCTGGTTGCATGTCACCTGCCCCTAAGATATACAGGATCTGAACTGCAGGGTAATGGTTTTTTAAATTGGTAATATTGGATTATTCCAGATAGCTGGGATTATTTTCAAATTGCAAGAAAAACCTGTAAACAAGAGGGTATTTCCAGTGTCAGTTGATGTGAATTCATGCCCCTCAAATCCAGAGGGAAAGTTAGTGAAGACTTAATAGAATAACAGAGCTGGGAGGGACCTTGGAGGTATTCTAATCCAACCCCCTGCTCAAGCAGGAGACCATCTACCATTCCAGATAAATCCAATCTCTTCTTAAAAGCCTCCAGTGATGGAGTGACTTAAAAGCCTTCAGTGACTTAAGCCATATTATCTGCAATATATCTGAGACGAAGGTCAGAGCCATTCTTCCATCAATTCTGACACAAGTGTCTTAGAGAGTTGCCATGTAGGCACATAATTCAAAGTGTTATCTATTAACTCAATTGCATAAAGTCTGTTATAAAAAACAGTTAACTAATTGTTCAATTTGAATCCTCGACTGTCTGTATATACTGTTAGCCTACATTTTAGGCGGAAATGTATACTTTAAATTCATTGGCTGCTGCCTAGTGGCGGTCCGTATAAATATAAGTCAAGCGGCTGCTAGAGCTGCTTCTGTGTGGATTGAATAAACTAGCTATTACTTTCACTCCTGTGTCTTCCATGCCTCGCCGTTCCCACTACACAACACAAAGTATGTCATAGTTTTTGCGCAGAGTATAATGAAAAAATGTAGAACAACCATGCAGCTCAACTCAAGGTCTACTCAGCACTGTATCAACAAACAGTAGGCGACAATGTGTTATTATCCGATTGCTAGAATATAAACTTGCATTCTCTACGTTAATGTAAATATGTCCCACTTGAATTTCCAAAATGTGTCTTCACTCTGTCAGAAGACAGGAAATGAGAGGAGAGCTGTTAACTTCTGGCTTAAAATAAATCTTAACTTTCATGACCCGATAAAACTCAGAAGGCAAGATCTACCCTGGGAAAATATTTCCTGCTTAATTTTTGTAAACATTCATGCAATTCCTTCTGGAGTGCATGTTGTCTTAAGAAAATGGAACATTGAGTTTCCTGTCATAGCTTCTTTTCAAATGGTTCGTTTAATCGGGGGAAGATTGGGAGCAGAGATTAGGATCTACTTTGGGTAGAGCGTGTCCAGATGAATTTATAGAGGCATAGAATGGTGGAGGTGGTGCTGGGAATAAATAATGAACAGCAACCATTATTATTATTATTATTATTATTATTATTATTATTATTATTATTATTATTATTATTATTATTATTATTATTATATCTATTTATCACTGGGGAAGCCAGCCAGTCAGCCTTCCCCAACTTGGAGTGGGAAATGTTTTTTTTTTTAAATGAGATATGGGATGAAGAGATTCTTTGTTGTTTTTTAAGACAAGGATTTGTTAATGGTTTAATTGCTTTTTATATACTTGTGACGGGCACAATGACTCAGTGGTTAAAAAGCTGAGCTTGTTGACTGGAAAGCTGACAGCCTGGGTTTAAGACCTGAGCCCTGCGTGATGGGGTGAGCACCCATTACTTGCCCCAGTTCCTGCCTACCTAGCAGTTGAAAAACATGAAAATGGGAGTAGATAAATAGGTACCACTTTGGTGGGAAGGTAACAGGGCAGTGGTGGTGAACCTGTGGCACGGGTGCCATAGGTGGCACTCGGAGCCCTCTCTGTGGGCACACGTGCCATTGCCCCAGCCTTGCCTCCCCCCACAACCCCCTCCTCACCAGCAGCCCTTGTGGAGGAGAGTTGCCCCCGAGCGTGGTCCACGTGCAGCAGCGCAGCCAAGGACATGGCAGCCAGACAGAGTAGACAAGACTCTGTCCTCACGTCCCATCATGCACAGTTGATGCTGCAGGGCGCGGGCAGAGGGTGTGGCCACCATGGCGCTGCTGTGCTGCCTGGGGGATCTGCGGTGGGCCATGGAGGCGGTGAGTGGACCTGCGGGCAGGCGGGGTGGGGGCGGAGCAGGGGCGGAGCAGGGGGTGGAGCAGGGGCGGGGCCAGTTTTTGGGCACTCGGTCTCTAAAAGGTTCACCATCACTGTAATAAGGTTTTGCCACACGCTCTGCGCTGTGGCATGATGTCAGGCTGGCCACATGTCCACGGAAATGTCCTTGAGTATGGCTGCCTTCCCTCGGCTAAGAAATGGAGATGAGTCGGACAGGACTGGACAGGGGAAACCTTTATATACTTACATCAAGAGAGGAGGAACTTCATTTTTTCTCTTCTTTTTTTATCTGCCCTAGTTACATATTTTTTTCTTTCTTGCACTTTATACTTTTTCTTTTTCTTCTTCATTTTTTGTAGTTCCTATTAGTTTATATTTGTATAATTATATCTATATAATTGTAATCTCTAATAAAATTATTATTAAAAAATAAATTTCCCTGGTCGCAGTCGCTTGTTCTGTTTGAATACTGTCTCTGTTAACTTTACCTTGCAAGATCATACAAACTTTTGTAAATAACAGGGGATATAAATGCATAAACACCCTTAGGGTTGACCCCAAAAGCTTAGATCATTGCCCAAAATTCCCAAATCAAGGTTTTCTGAATGAGAACCTAGTAGAATAGATGGAATATCTCAACTCTAATTTTGTTTGGATAAAGCATATATCAGGATTTGTTTTAGATCCTGGGTTAAGTCACGTTTTGGGACAAAAGTAGGTCCAGTAGAGGTTTTACACCATGAAATGGAAATGGAAATTCATATTAGATTTTATGGATTTAGCAATATAGGTAGTCCTCAACTCACAGCCATTCATTTAGTGATCCTTCAAAGTTGGTGTCATCTCTGACCCTGCTTGCGGGTCACTCTTAAAGGCTGGTCACATCATCCTAGGCAGCAGAGGAAGAGAAGGAGGGAGGCAGTATTACATTAACAGCAGGGAAAGACACATGATTGACATGCTGGCACACAGGA